GTTTCAGTTTTGTTCCTAACGCGGGTTAGTTCGGTAGCAAATTTAATCTCTGTAATTGATTTTAATTGTGTTATCAAGCCATTGGGATGCTACTGGGTATTAATATGACACCTAAGATTAGTTTTAAAAACTAATAGAGGGATAGGAATAAGCCGGAGAAGGAGCAGAGAAGCTAAAACGAAGCACCGGGGACTGAAGGCTCTCAAAAGGGGTGAGAGCCGGCTCCATAGAAGTAGGAGCCGGCTCCCACAACAAGTAGAGCCGGCTCCAAGGACTCCTATAGCCGGCTCTAGGCTGAAAGAGCCTGCTCCCAAAATTTGGAGCAGGCTCCCTTTTCATTTTACATTTTGTTTTAATTTCTTTTTTTTTTAGTTTTCTACGTACTGTGTTTTACTATTGGAGCATGGGATTTAATCTGTTGGTTCTGGGGTTCCACAGAGAGATTAGAAGGCTGAATTTGGGTGTTATTAAGACCTTAAATTGATTAAGATTTAATTCTAAATTGTCGGGACAAACAGTGTAAAAATTAAGGCACTTCCTACGTTGTTAACAAATGAAAGATAAATTAATTGTTGAATTAAATTTCAGCAATTTAATAGAATGTAACGTGTTTATAAAACTTGTTTTAAAATGCATTCAAATGCATGATAAGGTCATTTAATTATTAATTTTGATCTATGCATGCTCAGGAGGCTAGTTGCTGAATTATTAAATCGTTTCCTGCAACTATATGGTTAATGCTTGGATTTAAATTGCTGAAACATTAAACAATCTTCTAAAATTGTTTTAGCAATTTATTGGATAATATTAGGATTATTTAACCTATTCACATGCATGATGGAGTCCTTGACATATTAAATTTGGTCTATGCATGCTCTGGATGTTAGTTGTTGATTTATTAAATCATTTCCTACAACTATATGGTTAAATGCTTGGATTTAAATTGCTGAAACTTTAAATATTTTTCTGCAATTATTTGGATGGTGGTTTTGGTCTGTAAATTATTGAATTGTTATATATGTTGTAATTTGCATGGATATGGAGGATTGTATGTACCGGTATGGGACAGTGACATATTAGGGATGGTTTAGCTCAAAACGCGTAAACCTAACCTAATGGATTAATGGAATGGATTGAAAGATATTAAATCCTAATTGTGACTAAGTCAGATCAGCTGTAACCAAGTTAGATGACTTCCTGGATTAACGGATGGTAGTTAAGTCATATCAACTGAATAAATTGACTGACTAACTAGTTGGTTTATTGTATGTCAGTTTAATAGATAGTTGAACTACATACCCTGGATTTGGACAAACTTTATATATATGTTTATGCTACCACGAGTTGAGCTTGAGTCTCAGACTCGTTGGTTAGGGTGCGTGTATGCGGTGGATGCGTAGCTGGTTATAATAGGTTGAGGTGTACCCTGTTAGGTCTAGGTACTCATGCCCACCTTTGGGTGCGTATTCTCATGTTGCCTTCTATTCAGGTTGAGACCCCTATTATAGACCAGTGAATGTCCCTTAGTGTGGATATATTTATATGTATGGACTAGATAGATATTGTGAGGTGTCTACGGTGTATCTGCGTATCGAGTCACTGTATGGATTGCAGTTAGATTAGAACTTGATCGTGGGTCTAACCCACTCCTTTATTATTCTTTTCAAGTACAGGACGGTTCCAGCCTTAGAGCTTGATCATGCTTGTTGAGGCCAGTCTCACATTCAGCTGATTACGTAGGACTTCTCTCGATGTTTCTAGCATTATCTATTTTCAGTTTTCAGTTTTAGTTGAACTTTTGGGTAGGGGTCCACCAGTGGATTCCCAAGTTGTCACCTTAAAGTTTTAGAGGATTAGAGTTTTATTATTCATTTATACATGGAGGGTTTTATAATTAGTATTTCTTTTAGCTTTATTCTATCTTTATTATTTCCTTTTGTCATCTGTGTTCACTTTAAAATACTTTAATTATTTGATATTCCCTCAGGTTTGGGCCTGGGCCTGATCAACCCGTATCTCGGATCCGAGGGGTATCACACTTTCCTTGTCTTTGTCGTGCCATAATGAACTGATCCCACCAAGCTGATGATTTTTTTCTTAGTTTCACATCAACCAATTTCACCTTTTTATCCTCGGTTACATCCTTCAGGTCAAAGATTCTTTCCATAGTGGTTAACCAATCAATGAAACCTTCTCCATTCAGATCTTCTGCAAATTCTGGAATTTCCACCTTAAAACCACCATCCCAATGCCTTTCTTCATATGGAAAAAGGTGCTGGTCTTGGTGTTGCATTTTTGCGAAAAGGATTGACAAATTCCTCTTCTAAATTGTCCTCCTCCTTAGATTCGACGCCATCTTGAGAAGAGGTTGAGGTTTGCGCAATGCGCAGGGCTAAAACTTCAATCTGCCTTCTTAGATCTTCTATCACAGCAAGTACTTGTTGTTGATCAACTACTGCATTCTGATCAGGCCGAACGGCTGGTCTGCGAGGCAGATTTCTTCTTTTTGGTGGTATATTGCAAAACATAAGAAAGAAATCTGATAACCCTACATAAAACTAATGGACCAGAGCTTGCTTTGATACTAACTAATGCAATCATCTTATGAAAGAGAGAATTAAATCACTAAGAAAGGAAAACAGAGAGCAAGAGTAAGCCAACGAATAGTTTAAACACCCACAACTCAATCCTAAAGAAAGGGAGAGATAAAAAGTTGATGTAGTAAGATGATAGTATTAATAATACGTAAAGAAAACTGCTCATTACAACACAGAACAACCTTTTTATAAGCCACAAGGGATGCCCTGGCAAAGATATAGTCCTACCCTTCAAATAAATGTAATCTAAAGGCTAATATTCTCTCTAGCAAAATAAAGAGCTAAAAATTACAAAACAGACCTTAAACAGTCACATGATTTAGTTAAAAGGCTTATAATTTATAAAATAAAATCAAAGGACAATAATATCCTAAGCATGAAATAAAACTGATTAAAGATTTATAAATGACTCAAGACTAAAACAATCATATAATCGGACTCATTATCGGCTGGCCTATTTATGGAAACTCAGTCTATTTATGGAAACTCGGTCGCGACTTCATAGAGTGTTCAACTATTTGAAAATAGTCTTCTACCATTTGCTCTGCATCAAAATGGATCACGAATCCACTTTCCGAACTTCGAATTTTCAAGAAAACATGTTTGGGGCTCCAGTTTCTCCATCCATTTTCATAATTCACTTCAGGCTTTGGGTAAGGGATTTGCGAGGCTTTGCTCGTACATGTATCACTAAGAAAATATCAATGAAAGAACGAGCAAAAGGATATTTTTGCAACCTCATTTACTACAATTTTTTTTTTATTCCTCCCGCTCTTCGAAAGGAAGAGTTGTTGCAATAGTAAACACTTCGTAATCCCCCAAAAGTCGTTTCAAGTTACTTTAAAAAAGTCTTCAAGCAAGTAAGTTGACGGGAAGTGTGCATTGTAGTTATCATAGTTGCAATAATGGATTTTCTTAAAAGAGATTCCTTTTTTCTCATCTGTTGAATGGTAGTTGGTAATTCTTGAACTCTCCGTGGACACTGCTTTGCATAATAGTATTCGCAGGTTGTTTGGCAAATATTGTTCCCCGTCTCACAGTCATTCCAAAGGCATGAGATGAGTAAAATAACTCCTGTTGGAAAAAGAGCCACTAGTTGTGAACGTGGTCCCAAAAGCGATACAACCACCTCATCCAAAATACTTGAATATTACATGTGATACTACTTTTCTTTAAATAAGCCTAAAGGCCCAGTGTTAGAGGTTTGTCCCATGTCGGATTCAGATGGGAGAGTGATTGAGTGTATATGGGTTAGGTGTTAGCCCCACGTAATAGCTTAGGCTTTTGAATCAGATCGCGAAACACCCACCTGTTATAGTTAGTATCAGAGCCAGACTTCCGGTGTCATGCCAAATGCCCAGCCCGGAAGTGTCCGGGTCTTCCACCTGGGTAGGTAGGGTGGGCCGAGTCGCAATGAGGGCGTTGCGAAGTAGGGGGTGCTATGTGTTAGTCCCACCTAATAGCTTAAGTTTTTAGGTCAGATTATAAAAGCACCCACAAATTACACCTAGCTAGTTGCACTTTGCCGATGCATTGGCAACACTCTTCATGTCTTGGGGTCTTGATCACATGGTGCTAGCGGGCAGAAAGGCAGATCGAGGTTTGTAATCCTTTCCAAAGTCTCAAGACAACGTAAAAAAATGAATGCATTTCCATTACAAACATAAAACTTATAAAAATAGTTGATATAGACAAACTGCACACTACCCTAACAAACATGTCATGTCAACTAATCAACCTCAACAAACTAATTACATTGTATATTAGAATTGAACTTTATCATGACTACCATATATAATAAAAAGTATGATTTTTATTAAGTATAGGATAAAATGCAGAAAACAATCTCATGATATACTTAACACGCACATCATAACCCTTATATGTGGAAAACACTATTAAATTATCAATTTGTGCAAATAAGTCTTACATGACATATTTAAGATAGATTGTATCCAAATAACCTTTATATTGATAATTTACACATTATTTAAAAAAAAATAAGTCATTTAGTGAAATGAGATAAAAAAAATAACTCTAAGAGCATCCCCAAGCTTCATACTTCATTCTACACTTTGCATAAAATGTAGTGCCACATCAATAATTATGCTGACGTGGCTCTACACTTATTTGAAATTTTTTTTTTTTTTTTGGGAAAGTTATTTTGAACATTTTAAACTACTGTTATTCACAATTGTTTGCATTCTATACTTTATTATATACAATCACTTTTTTTTCATTTTATATACATAATGTAGCATGTGTAAATGAATGGGTGGGAACCACGAGTGCAGAACGCGCACAACAAAGACATTGCTTCGCCACATACTCAGAAATTATCCAAACAAGAGATGCGCTCGATGCTCTAAGAAGGTAGTGTAAAGTGCGAAAAATAGCCCAAGGTGTGTTATCATTGGACAGGGTACGCGGTAGGGGGTGACTATGGATGTGCTAAATAATTTCTCCTTCTGCAACTAGTAATAGTTTGCCAGGTCAGTCCGTTACTGTACTTGATGATAATGTGGCATGACCCGGAAATAAAACCCACTAGTATTAAATCGGGTCCGGGCACAATTCCATCCTGACTCAACCAAGAAAAGAATCAGCCAATTTGGATAAACGGAGCTCCATTTTCAAACTCCCATCTTCTCGTACTCGTAGTTATTCTCCCATGTGAGGTAAAACAAGCTCAGTTTTGGCGGTTAAACCAGTGAAGCAAAACCCTAGGTGGTCGTGACTGTAATTGGCGAACAAGAAAAGGAAAGAAAGAGCAAAGGAATCAAATCAAAAGTCAAAACCCTAGGTCGTCGTGACTGGAATTGCTGAACGAAGGAAAGAAAAGGGAGAAGGGAAAGAAAAATGGAATCGGTGGCGGAGGGACTGTGGGGACTAGCGGACCACCATGAGAAGATGGGGGAGATAGGGAAGGCAATCAAGTGCCTGGAAGCTATCTGCCAGAGCACAGTCTCTTTCCTCCCCATCGTCGAGATCAAGACTCGCCTCCGCATCGCCACTCTCCTCCTCAAGCACTCCCACAACGTCAATCACGCCAAATCTCACCTCGAACGCTCCGTCAGTTTTCATTCCCTCTCATATCTTTCTTCCACGAACACGCACACATATATGTATATGTGTACACACACGAGCATGTCAATTTTATGTTTCTCCATTTTCATAATTTTCTATTTTTTCTTAGCTTTAATGTTTTATGAAAGTTAAATAGTTCAATACAGTTTAATAACTAATAATACATGGAATTTCATCAGTTCTTGGATTTCTGGGTTTAAGATTTGAAGGAACCGAGTAAAGGAACTTTCAGTGAAGAGTGTCCAATACTGAGTTATTATTATTTTTTATTTTAGATTGTAAAATCTGGTGGCTATGGGACAATGGTTATTGATAGATAGTAGTTGCAATCAATAGTTTTTCCTAAAACTAATTTAGAAAAATTTAAATGTCTCAGTGTTGCTTATACAGATGAACTAAGTTACCATTTTGAATAAAAACCGGAATAACACTTTTATGAGACGTGTAAGGCCATTGAGTTACTCAACTTCCATTTCTAATTTGTTGATGGTTTATTTGGAAGTCTTTTTGAATGCATTGCGCCTGCGCCTGTTGATCACTGAGATTGCCGGAGTTCATGATTTTGTACACTTATCTGAAGAATATTGTTCTTTTTCTTAAATTAAGAAAACAATCAACTTTGCACTCAGTTTTTCTTGTGATGTTTCTAAAATGTTGCTTTTGGAGAATTTTCGTTTGTACTAATATTTCACCATCTTTGACTTTATTTCCTTTGATTGTATTTAAAAAAAAAAAAAAAAAAACCATCTAGGAAATGTTCCCTATTGTTGCATTATGGCATTTACTTTTCAAAGCAAACTTGTATCTGAATTGCACAATGCACGAGAGGACAACGCATCAAGGAGAGGGGAAAGAAAAAACTTATGAAGTATACAGTTCAAATGACATAAAAACACACATGGAGGAATAATAGTATTTGATATAAATTCTTTTCTACCAATTAACCCCTTTTCTTTCTGTTATATATTGACCTTACAAGAACCATTATTTTCTAAAGTAAATATACGCACAATTATCAGATATATATTTGTTTTAAAAGTACCATTAGATTAATGTTAATGCAATATCTAGGCATTCTTCCTTGATGAATTCACTACATTGCATTCTATATTGCTATATTCAATTTATATTCCTTTTTTGTTACGTAATGAAAAAGTAGAATAAATCATAGATTTTTTAATTGCTTGTACTTTGTTCCTACAGCAACTGCTTTTGAAGTCCATTCCTTCTTGCTTTGAGTTGAAGTGTAGAGCATATAGCTTACTCAGCCAGTGTTATCATCTTGTGGGATCTATTCCTTCACAAAAACAGATATTGAACAAGGGTTTGGAGCTTACGACATCGTCTGCAGATGGGTTACACGGGTATGCAGATCTTTTTGACATCAGCTTGTTTATTGAGGATTATTATTTCATATTTTTACACTATTTCAAAGTGGAGTAATTGGCATTGACAGTTCTACTCCATTCTTTTTCGTTCATATTTTTGTCCACACAATTACAATTTCCATTTCATTGCTGAGAGTCAGCCCTTTGAACCTAGAGATACGTGCAATGTTACAAGTTGCGATTGTGGCCACTGAGGCGGTCATGGTGTCGTGGTTGCAGGGTGTAACAGTATCAACTGTCGTAGTTGTGGATTTTTTTTTTTTAATCAAAATGAACCGATACACAACTTGTAATTATAGAATTCAATATAAAATGTATTTTTAATTATAGAATTCAATAAAAACGTATTTTTAATGTACTTTATTGAAAAAAGTGTTTCGATATGAGCAATAGAGTGGGCCATTGTGTGGTGTAGTGATATAATGCTCGAGTCATCAAGTACAATAACATGGTTTCGAATCTTGGGAGTAGTCACTTTGTTCAAAAAATGCTAAAAATTTGGTGTACATTTAGTCTGCCCCTCCAAGCAACCTCGATTAGGGGGACTACACTGGGTAATGACTCCTTTCTATATGAGTGATTACCTAAAAATTAAATTTTAAATCATTGTCAATACTGTTTAATTGATTTTTATTGAATATATGTGCAATTTTTTTTATTTTTAATTCTCTTTTTAATTATTATTAGTTTAAAAAAAAATGTAGATTACAATATTTGTATTATTAAGTATTCACTTATTTCTGATTTTTAACGAAATTTTTCTATTTTTTTCTTAGGATTATTTGATTATTTAAATTCACTTTGTTATCTACATTTTTATTAAAAATATATATATATATTAACGTTGATAAAAAATGTAAATGACAAGTATTTACTTATTTGCTTTTTTAATTTTTTGCACAAATACTTATGTTGTGTTCACTTTATTCAAAAGTGGTATTGTGGATTTTATTAGCAGCAGAATCAGTTCCTTTCATGGGGTTAGCCAAACACAGCAAAACCTACGATTGGTTGTGTCATGGAATATTCCAGCCTCTGTTCTCAGTTAAAGTCATAGTTGTTAAAGGCGCGCCTAGGCTCCAAAAAAGCCCTAGGCTCGTCAAGGCTCAGCTAGAGCGCCTCAACCGACTACGGCCAAGCCCCTTCAATAAGGCTCACATAAAGCCCCTATTCTCACACTTTTTAGTAGACTTCAGGCTACAAAAAGGGCGCGCCTTGTTATTTTTAATCATTTATTCATATCATTTTCTTTTTTACTCGATGACTAGTAAATTAAACGGTTCTATATCAGATATCTTATTGTTTAACCTTCTGAAATATTTGACAAAGTTCATAAATTTATGGTTCACTACTTACATCAACTGCAATTACTGCTTGATTATGAATAGATGTAATAATATATGTTAAATATGCATTATTATATACACGCGCCTTACTTTGATCAGGCTCACGCCTTATACTGCGCCTTGCGCTTTGGCTCCAGAAGGCATTTGGCGCCTTAGTCAGCCTTGAGCCTTTAACAACTATGGTTAAAGTGCCTCTGGTTGTCTTCTGTTTGAGTTTCTGGCTTGTCCTATGGTGGTTTGCTCCTCGGTCAGATGTATTCTTGTTGCTTTCTCCCTTTCCTTGCTGGTGGATTGGGCAACTTGATTTAGTTATGATATCTACCAATTTTGTTTTTGCTTGGGTTTTGATGCTCCCTGTTTGGTTATATCTCTCTTCTTTGTTTGTTTATCTCTGAGCTATGCCCATTGTAGTTGTTGGTTGTCTTGTGGTTTAATTTGTTCCTACACATTCTTTCTTACTAACCAAAAAAAAGAACTAGTTTGTTCTATACGGGAAATTCATAGCAACACCCACAAAATGAACAGGTGTGTTTGATCTAATAGATATTTTCATGTTAGATCTAGATGAGCGACAGGAAAATTAAATAAAAACTAAATTCTCCAATCATTTGCCAGAGCGGAATACTTTTGTTGAAGATTTATGGTTAAAACTTATGTATTTTATTTTATTTTATTTTTTCCTTTTGAAATTGTAGAATTAAGTTATTTGATGTGGTTGGAAGTCTTTTAGAGGTGGTCAAAACAGTACCATCACAGCCCGTTGCGGTCGAGTCGGTCGTGATTATCAATATCATCATGATCTCGGGCTGACTCAATCATGGTTCTGTCCGAGTCTGATGCGAATCTGGGGATTGTGGTGAGTAACCATGGATATATGTTGGAAAAGAGCCATTTCAGATGTAACAAACGACTTCTCTGCATTATTTGGGAATGCGTAGGAGTAATATTCAGTTAAGATTGGAATGGAATCTATTACTTTCTGTAGCTTCTGTTTTTGTATTGATTTGATTATTTTGTTGTAATTGTCTAAGACTATTAGTTTGGGGTAGTTCAGAATAGGATTAGGTTACTCCTTATTTTCTTTTGAATCTAAATGTAAGGTATAATAAATGCTACCTCTATGCAACTGCACCATTTTGGAGACACACTGATTGTTTAGGGATTATTCCCTTTAGGTTTGCTGGGAAGTTATGGTCGTGCAACTTCAACTCGCAGCTTGCAAATGCTCTGATAATTGAAGGAGATTATCAAGGTTCAATATCTGCTTTGGAAAGTGGATATATTTGTGCAACCGAAATACATTATCCAGAGTTACAGGTTTGTGTGAAATAATTTGAATAATTTCTAGCAGTCGAATATGATTTCCAGTCTATTGGCATGGTGAGTTCAGATAATGAAGATGGAAAGATTATATAGTTATCCTTCCGTGCATTAGTTGGGCATCCTACATTTGCCCTTCATACCTGCTTACTATCATCCATGCATATACCAGGGTTGTGGTAGTGCTTGCTCCATCATTCCCTCTTTTTCTTGGTCCGTTTGTTACTTTTGTTGGCCTGATGGTCACTCCTGTGAGAAATGCTAACATCTTTTAATTGCTTGTCTTCTGCTGGTGGGTCAGATGTTTTTTGCAACTTCTATCTTGCATGTGCACCTCATGCAGTGGGATGATGTAAATTTAGTTGAAAGAGCTGTCAACAAATGCAATGAGGTTTGGGAGTCCATTGAGCCAGATAAAGTAAGTCAAGATCTTTGTCATTGTAAGTTTGTTTTTTGAAGTCCCCCCTGATGTCAACTGCAACTTGAGCCAAATTTTTTTTTGGTAAGTACCTTGAGCCAAAATCTTAAGTTATATGATAAAGGCTTTTGTTGTAAATTTCAATATGCTATAACCATTGTAAGAATTTACAAGGACACATTAGAATTTAAAAGCAATACATCGTGTTCTATGGACTTTTTCCTTTTCTTTTCTTCCCCCTAATATGAAGTAAGATCTGTAGGGTACTGATAGGTAAATGGGGACATGAGTGTACCTTGACTTTGATTCAAATGATCAACTTTGTGTCAATGGTGTTTCAATGGTGTTTTGTGCATAATAGTTTTTTCAATGTAATTCATGGCTGACTGTTCCAGTATTGTTGCAGTTCTGCTGTATGACAAAGCAATGTCAATCTGTATCAGCAATATATCCATTCTGACAAAATGGCTCCAGTTTTAAAAGAAATCTTCAGGTTTTCTGTGATGATTAGATGGTTATGTATTTCCGGTTAACCCTTGCAAAAAATATATATTTTGGCCAAGATATTTTACTTCTGTCTTAAATATTACCTTTTCCCTAATGCTTGTCCAAGCCTACCTAGAGTAAGGTAGTGTTAGATAATAGCCAAAGGATAACCTGTATTCATACCTTAATGAACTTGAATCTTGAACATCTGCAATCCTAGAAGAGATGCATGGTGAAAATATTGTACAATTTGATAGTAAGGAGCGGAACCAGAGGTTTTGACAGAGAGTCACGCAAGACCTTTTTGAATTAACACTAAATTATTAGAATCCTAAATTTAATTCATAGCAGAAAAGTAAAAAATTTTCAATCCATAGCAGCAATAAATAAGTAAAGCAATGGACACAGAGTTTTAAATGGAAACTCCAAGTTGAAAAACCACAGGACCTAGTCCAGGAAAACGAAATCTACTATGAGAAAGGAAGTTTACAACCTAGGTTAACAGTTCCCAAAAACCTAAAAACCTCTAGTTACCTCCTTGACATAGACGATGCGAAACTTTCTAATGAAAGTCTACAGTGAACTGGTTTCAGCAACTAGTTGTCCACGTTCAATTTCTGATCAAAGAATTGAAGGTTGTGCTGAGCTCTCCAATTGTAGTATGCAACAGTAGGTGTCAACATATGGAATACAGACTACAGTAACCGATTGTACGAATGATGAATGCTAAAAGAAAAATATTGAAGTACTCTAGAACTAACAATTATGCTCTTTGTTTATGTATTCTGCCCTAACATGATATATATATCTATATATATATATATATATATATGCGCGTACTTATCAAAAAAATATACATATATATCTACATATACGCGCAAAATAGAAGTAGAGAAAGAATAGGGCTGGAAGAGTTTAGATTCAATTTGGAAATTGCTTTTCCACAATGGTTGATCGATCGGAAAACATGTCGATTGATCTACGAGACTGTAGTGGGCCTCGATCGAACCCTCAAGTGATCAAATACTATTGTAATTTTAACACTTGGAAAGATTCAAGACTACTAGTTTTCAAAAACTTTTTAGTGCATGTTTTGAAACAATTTAGAGAATCAAATAAAGATCAAATCAAGTAAAACTTAGAAACCCTAATTATGAATGCATGAACCCTAATTTGGTGAGTGCATCAATGTGTTAAATTACCTTTTTATCCTTGTAGAAAAATATTACCATATACCCTTAAATGTAGCTCAAAATTCCTTCTTCAACCTTGAGTAGGAGGTGATCAATTAACAAAAACCATATTTTTGGAAGTTTCTAATCTAAATTACAAATTAGAACAAAAATTACAGACTTAGAAGCACGGACATGGGACATGGACACAATATGAAACGAATACAACGACACGTCAAATTCTAAAAAAGTGGGACACGGACATGGCATGGGCACGGCTAACATAAAAATAAATTTTCAATTGTATCTCTATTGAGGAAGACAATCATAGAACTTTAATTCCTTTATAAATTCTATGCTAAAGTTACATAAGTAAGAAGAGGACGCTATTTGAATATAAAAAAGAATATGTTATATTATATCATATTATCACTATTCTATCTTGTCATTACAGTTATGTTTTTGTTCCTTAGATGTTGAACACTTTGATGTATGATGATAATTGTTTCCAGGACTGTCGTGTGTTTGTTTTATATAAGATAAAGAGTGTAAGATGTGTTGGTGGAGTGTCCGAGATGTGTCTGCCAGGTGCCCGAAATAATAACATTTATTTTTAAATAATGGACGCAGCCATGAAGTGTCGGACACGTGTCTAGGAGTGTCCATGGAGTGTCAGTGTTGGACACGGACACGACACCTCATAGAAGTGTCCGTGCTTCTTAAGTTACAGACTCTAATTTTGTTTTACGAAATTTGCCAACCTAAGTCCTATTGACCTAGAAAAGTATTTTGGATAAGCCTTGCTTGATTTTTTGTGGGTAAAAGAGGAAATTGTATCTATTCAGATTTTAGTACATGGCACCAGCTTTCAAGTGAAACTTCCATCCTCTTGTATTGTCCTTTGAGGCTCCATAATATTGTTTTGGGCGATTATTGATAAAAGAAGGCCTCCAATCCAAACTTTGAAACTTGTTTCCTGTGGCTTTTAGTTTGTCTTGATGCAAATAGTTTCCCTTATTGGGATGGCTTCTTGATGCAAATATATATATATATATATATATATATATATATATATATATATGTATGTATGTATTTATAATTGCTTTTAAAATTATCTGCCATTACTGATTCATGTTTTTATTAATATTTTCTGGTCACCTTGCGTCCTCGAAGAGACAAAAATGCCTTGGTTTACTCTTTTACAATGAACTGCTGCACATATTCTATTCACTACGAATATGTGACTACAAAAGTGCTGCTGAGGGTGTTGAAAAATTGGATGGTGCTATGAAGGCTGACTTGCAGCAGATGCGGCATGTCCAAGAGCTGACCAAGGAGCTCAATGCACTGAATCAAAGTCTCTCTCAGTCTGACCTACACTACAGAGATAGGTCTGCGCTTTCTAAAAAACAAGCTCAACTTGAAGAACAACTCAGTAATACTCGATTGAGTGCAGCAAGAAAAGATTCTTTAGAACCAACATATTCTGGAAATGTCAGACAAGACTGGGTAGATAAGCTTGGGTTGGCTCCACATCCTATGGATGGGGAGTGGCTACCGAAAAATGCTGTTTATGCACTGGTTGAGCTTATGGTTGTCATTTTTCAGCGTCCAAAAGGACTTTTTAAGGAATGTGGAAGACGGATTCAATCTGGATTACAAACTATTCAAGGTTGGTTCCTAGTCTTTTTCCTTTTGGACAGTTCCTGAACTTTATTTTAATTACTAATTGCTTCAATTCTTTTTGTTAAGTCTAATTTCTCACCACACTTGGCCACCCAAATTTGTGGACGTGAAACCATTTTTCTTCCTATTTTCCCTTATGTCTTTATATAACACTATCATATCCTTTCCCAAATGTCGTGATTATGTTTATTTATACTTTCTGAAAAAGTAAACCATGCAATTTACTTGGTGAGTCACCTAGGTTTTGTCCTAGTAAGCTTTTGTGTCTCAAAATGCGACTAGTATCTTGACTTTGTAATGTTGGTTCAACACAATTTTTGATATGAGGCATGGCAACCATTCAAATTGGGCAAGGACATTCTGCTATTTGCAATGCTCACTTGGAATGGCTAACCAATTTGATCAAGATTTGTCCTTAATTTTTTTGTGGAAATTTGGCCGGTCTAGGGTAATGCTTTTGTCCATTCAGAGCGGGTAGATGGTTGAGTTCGGAAGGCTTAGCCTCTACTGTCCTTTCTTTCTCACAATACCATAGATGATTTGGTAAGGGAAAATGAGTAGATTTTGTGTGTGTGTTGGGGGGGGGGGGGGGGGGGGGGGGGGGGGGTTTGTTTGGTGTTGGGGTGAGGGGGAATTGAAATTGATGTTATATGTTACATGAATATACACAAAAAGCTCTTATTATGTTCGTTTACTACCTGGTTTCTTCAAAATTGGAAAAGTCCTTGTGCCATAAACTCTTTGTTACATAGGACCCACCATATTACCTTCACAAGATCATTAAACAATTTGACCATGTAGATGTGTTCCCATGTGCTGGGATTTGAGAACTAAGTAAAGCCTAGACCTAGACACATACCCACAGCTGACGAATATACCTGAGTCCACTTGACATAGCTGATATTATAAAGGTCAAAGTTATTTTTGCTTTCTTTCCTCTTTTTTTTTTTTGCTCATGCACACAACAACGATGAGGGTATTGCTGTCAGATTGTCATAGATCCTGGTTTCTCAGCATCTTCGTACTTTAATGGAAAGTCATTTTTGCACTCTTTTGGATTTACATATTAAGCTTTAGGTGTCATTGACATGCGCAATTTTGAAATTTGAATTAATTTTCTTACATGCAGAGGAGCTGGTGAAGCTTGGAATCACTGATGGTGTGAGAGGTGCACTTCCATCTTCTTATTTATCATTTGCAAAAGCTAATCTTCTTCATTCATTACTTCTATACAAAGAGCTTAGGCTCAGTCACCAATTATAGCTCCCTAATAAAGGTGCTGCTTAATCTCAACTTGATGATGTTCTTTAGAATATCTAGAATTGTGTGTCTATCAAAATCATGGCATCAGTGTATTTCTGAGGTTACTGAAGTGAGCTTTCTGAATATTATGTCAAGCAGAAGTGGATTTGCAACACTCTGCAATATGGATGGCTGGTGTGTATTTGATGCTTCTAATGCAGTTCCTTGAAAACAAAGTGGCTGTGGAACTCACACGGTCTGAATTCGTCGCAGCACAAGAGGTTGGTATTATGCTTCTAGTGTTGAATTTTCAACTATAGTTTGTATGTCTCTCTACTTGTATTTCCATCGGTTCTGGTACAAAAATTTGCTCAATTCCTTGCACTTGTTATGGGGTTCTCTATACATATTTCTTAGGAAAGAATAGTCAAATCATCAGGTGGCGCAGGACAAGTAGTAACTTATAGTAACTAGAAATAAAGAAGGAGATGAGAATGAGAAGATAAGATGAGGCTAGACGAAGGTGGTGAGTAGACAGAAGAATAGGGATGAGAATCAGATTGAAGGAGGTAGGATAGATAGACGGAGGGATTAAGAACAGCAAGAACAAGACGAAGAAGAGACACAAAGGGAGTTCGCAAACTCAAATACCCCTAAAAAAAGTAAAGTACTAAAATACCCATAAAATTAAAACATTATTAAAAATAACCATAAGCATAAATAAAACCCCTAATTTACTAATATCCCTAATTCTATCTTTGTTTTCCCCTTCTCCAATAATAAGTGTGGGTTATATGTGGTTCTAGCTCTTGAGTTGCGCCTTGTTCTCCATCATCAGGTCCATCGTCCATGTGGTTGTATTTTGGTTCTTGGCTGTATCTTTGTTTAGCCTCGTTTCTTCTAGTTTACTTGCCTTGTTTTTGCAGTTTATACATTCACCATATATTGCTTTGAGAATTTTTCTGAGAGACTGATTATTGTGTTGTTCTTTTAAATATTTGTTCCTCTTGTGCAAATCATATGAGGTGGTAATGTAACATGTTGCTTTAGTTTTGAAATTCATTTGAGAGTGAATTTTATTGGTTGGAATTAGGGGACATGTCAGTCCTTAACTAGCTACAGAAGGAAAATAGATTATTAACGTGACTTTTGTCTCATCAAAATTTACTGAGTTCTGGACTTCAAGCTAGGTATTTGGATTCTCAAAACTTATGATGAATATAGTTATCATGAAAGTGAATTATTTGGAAAAGTTATTGAAAATTAAGATTGTTGACGAAGGTTACAACCAACTACTACATGGTACAAATTAGTTCAATATTGGTTTTGCAGACATGCTGTGTGCATGTGTCAGACAATAAAGCTTGATTAACTCAGACGTGTGCTGTGTTGATATTGCTTTGCTTCATAACCTCCCTTTGCAGAAATTTTTTCAGCAATAATAGTATGGTTTGAGTTCACAAGGGTGCTGTTTTCTTTTCTTACACATTTTAAATTTGTTCCCATCCCGAGTCTACATTCTATGAAGAAGAAGAAGAATTGGTTATGCTTAGTTTCTTTATAGAATTTGGAGGTACACCCGACCTTATTTAACTGAGTAATTTCTAGAAATAAAAAAAAAATAGCCATTGTCAAAAATGGAATATGATAATGGTAACTATAATGTAACTTAATTCATTTATCAAAATCCTGATACAGCTTATGAAAAAAAAAAAAAAAAAAAGAAAAAAGAAAAAAAAAAGAAGAGAAAAAACCCTGATATAATCCTGTAAAACTCGTTTCATATGCAGTGAAAAGCAAAAGGGCCACCTTGATATGCGGGGAACTTTCCCTATCAATAATTGGCATGCCAAACACTTCTTCACATTATTACATTCATGTCTAAATGTGCCCTATACTCTTTGGGACACTTCCTGAACAATCCATTTTTTCCCCTTCAATTTTTTACCTAAAAACAGGTGTATTACGCCTTCTCTTTTATGAGACTTCTGTTGTCTTTTAAGATTCCTTTTCAATTTATTCTCTTTGGTTGTTTCATGCACACAATCTCAAACACTGATCAATTCCATATAAATGACACCATAAATTTGCAAATGCACATATAAAAATGTCCTTGTATCTAAAGTTTAATACGCTTCTGTTCTTAACATCACATATCTGAGTCAGAATGTAAGTAATACTCCCCCTATCCACTAATTATAGCATGTCATGGTTTCTTTTCAGTGAGACATTGATGCTTCCCAATTAGATGATGGCATTTTCACTTTTTTATTTTCTATTTTTGGCAATTGATTTGATGACTTTTTCACAATTTTTGTACCCATCAAAGCTATATATAGCTCTTAAAATTGAAAATGTAAACATGATTGTTACGTTTGCAGGCTTTGGTGCAGATGAGGAATTGGTTCATTCGTTTTCCAACAATTTTAGAGGCTTGTGAGAGCATTATTGAGATGCTTAGAGGGCAGTATGCTCATTCTGTTGGCTGTTGTAGCGAAGCCGCCTTTCATTTTATTGAAGCAGCAAAGGTGTGTTGCTTAATAGTACAATTTGCTTTGGAAATACTATATCACCAATTACTGTGCAGTTGTCGTGAATTTAAGTTGTCTGGTTCACAAAACAATCTGCAGCACATCTTGGTATTTACAATGACTTGTCATGAAATGTTGCAACATTTGCCAAGTGCTACAGTGGATGTGGGTCCAGCATATGCAAGATGCTTTATTGGATTGAAGCCTGGAAAGCATAAAAAAGAACCTTCAGAGATTCTCGGACTGAAAAATAACATTGAGAAAACAAAATAGAAGAGAAACTCTAAAATCCGGAAATGGGAGTGGGATAGAAAGGCCTGCATTCAAGGTGTCTAAATGCATAGAACATCTAGTAACTGCCCAGAGACCGATGTGTACATGCCTACACACATTTCATTATTTTAGGAGGCTTTTGAAAGTTCAACTTTGAAGCTTCCTTGAGGTTTAAGTGACCTAATAAGACCTGCACTCAGAAGTATGACAACCACCCCCCTCTCCTAGTGAAGTAACTTTCATTAACCAAAAACAGATAATTACAAGGCTAGGAGAGGCATCTTCTCTCATTAGAATAGATTGAGAAATCCCATTTCCAAACACCAGTAAAGAGGAAGAATAAAACCAGCAAAATTCCACACCTAAAAGACAGAAAACCCCAAGGAAGGAAGAAAGGGTGTCAGTAACCCGCAACACTGCAAAAGATCCACCATCTGCTGCAACTCATACTTAAAAAACGCATTATGCCAAGGAGATCTCCTTTTACAACCCAAAGAAGCTGAGAGTGTAGAATAAGATATGTCCACTGATGGATGCAGCTACTAACCCAGATACCAGAAGCATTCCTCGTAACAGAGCAATCAGCTTGTAACATAGAACCAAACAAAAAGGTAACCACCCAGAAAACTGATGTAAACTAACCCTTTCGGAATTTCAGATCACTTGCAATGTTTCGGGAGGCGGATTGGTGGCCGATTGGTCTCTTACTTTTGTGTATGCTAGTGTACGAAGCTGCCAGACATAATAGTCAGATGAAACCACTTGTAAATCATTAATCTTTGAACCCATAGTCCAAAGCCTCCTAAACCACCATCCTAGCAGTTTGAATTTCTTGAGGGGCTGAACCACAATGCAGTTTTTGACTCCTTGCTCTCCAAATGTTCCAAAGGAATTAAACTGGGAAATGAACCATTAAATTAATTGTTGAAATGAGTTTACTTGACCCCAATCCCAGTGGAATACATCGCATAACCAGTTCCAAACCAACTGAGCGTAACTACAAGTAAAGGGCAGGTGGTTGACTGTATCCCATATTTCATACAATTATGAAAATATGGGGCCCAAGCTTATGCCCCCTTCTGTAGATTGGTGAATGAAGGAATTTCATCCAACAAAATGAGGCAAAATGTAATGCAAGCAGCAGGCCTTCCCTTCTTCCAACACAATTTAAACCAGTCCTTATTAGCATTAGTCTGTCTATAGCTTTTCCAAACAGATTTAAAATTAAATCTGCTTCATTCCACAGAATCTGGTCATTCTCTAAGGAGATAGGAATAGCAGAAATTTGATTCCAAATATACTCAATCTCAGGGTCCATATTGTTAGAGAATATTTTTGTTTCTTTTTAGTTCTTAGGGTGCTTTAGTCTTTTACCTTTTATATTGGGTAGTTTAGTATTTTATCATTGGTCAGCCCTTTTGTTAGGGCATATATATATAAATATATATATCCTTGTATTATTGTAACTTGTACTGAAATATGATTGATAATATAGCATCAGTTTCTTCCATGCTTAACATGGTATAACAACCTGGCTTGCAATTGACACAGTAAAACTGGAAAATAAGAAGACAATGTTTTTTTTTCCATGTTAAAGGTTTTACATGAAAAATATGTTCTATATATTTTAGGTTGAAAATAACGGAGCATTAAATTAAGTGAAATTTTAAATACTATTTTGAGTATGCTATATCCTCTCTTCTTCTTCTTCTTCATATATATATATATATTAATCATTTTGTTCAACAATAACTTCAATAAACTATAAATTATCAAAGATATAATTGCATTGACTATATACTCGCACCTTACTCTAGCAATGACTCTGACATTCTTGCACGGGCTTTTTATTAGCTTCAGTGTCAAGTTGTTTTCATAGCTGTTTTCCCTTTCATTTACCATGGTCTGAATTCTAGTGTCCGTGAAGTGGGGAAAAAGAATTGCCAAATATGAGCAGCAGTCTGAAGTCACATTGTAGTAAATTTGTAGTTGGGCTGATATCTTTCTTAGTTTTTCGATGGTTGCATCTGAATTACCAAACACATGGTCACACGCATCGCAGGCCTTTTTTTTTTTTTTTTTTTTTTTTTTTTTAAGTTTCCTGATTGTACTGAAGAAGATTTATTTCAGTTTTTTAAGAGTTCTTTCCCATGACATGTAAAAAACATAAATCAAAAGGTGTTTTTGATAGGCTCTTTGACCTAAATACTCCTTATTCTTAGCAAGTGATGTAAGTAGATCTATAATGGTTGATATAGAAGGTGCCTCAATTTGATATTTGAGAAAATGTGTCTCGCTTGTTGATGACTAAAATGGGAGTTAGAGACCGAAAAGTGGGAGAGAAATGAAGTTGTCAACGTCTGACTATTCTTGGATTCATATGTATATATTATTGCCTGTATGCTCTTCTCTTCAAAGTGAAGATGTAGTTTGTTTAGAAAATACTATAGAGCTCTACGAATCTATATTTTATAAAGTTAGAACTGACTGTAGCCTGTGAATTTTTAATTTAGCTGACTCAGAGCAAATCGATGCAAGCTATGTGCCAAGTTTATGCAGCTGTATCTTACATCTGCATTGGTGATGCGGAATCTTCTTCAAGGGTAGAATTATTTCCTGTTGTTATCAGATTTTTATATTTGTTGATCTTTGTTGTTAAGTTATTTTTTTAGCAGTGGTATTCTTCGGTATGCAGGCTCTTGATTTGATTGGACCAGTTTTCAGAATGCTGGATTCTTTTGTTGGAGTCAGAGAGAAAACCAGTGTCCTTTTTGCTTATGGTTTTCTATTGATGAGGCAGCAGAATCTACAAGAAGCACGGTAGCTGTTCCCTTCTTCAATAATCTTTTCCCTGAATGGGCTGGTACTGGTAGTCGTATTAATTAGGAATTTGGTGCATTCTATTGCACCTGATGTGATTTGTTCAATTGTGTTTTTTACAGCTTTTGAATCTTATTCTTCTTGTTTGTTAGGGCATTTCTTATGAGCCTTTATTTTTATTTTTTGTGGTTCTATGGCATTGTTTATGATATATCTAGAATTGTCATTCTTATAAGATCTATTTTTTTTTTTTTTTTTGGTATTTTATAAATTCTTACATTCTGAACTTTCTGTTTGTTCTTTTTTTCCCTATTGACTAGAGGGGGTGTCCCCGCCCTTTGGTTGGGACCATGCCTGTTTGGACATGAGGCCCTTTAATTCACTTGCCAGTTTTAATTCAGGTAGAACCCTTGTGAGGCTGGCCTCATCGGGGGAGAATCAAACCCATAACCTCCTCCTTGCAAGGCGTGGTTCTTAACCAACAATTCCACCCTTTTGAGGTTTTAATTTGAAGGCTTTTTTTTTTTTTTAGCATACCAATGTTCCACCATCATATGAGAAGGCATGGTCACATATTTATTTATTTATTTATTTTTTTGATAAGTAAGACATTGTATAGAAGTGCTGAAAAGGGGAGCGAAGCCCAAAAGAACTACACAAGGTCAAAAAGGGCCTCTAAACTTTCGAAGAGTCCAAAAAATCAACTAACTCCTCTAAAGATGTATAATTGCTCCCCAAAACCCAACAAAAAGGAGTGGAGATAATAGAGAACTTAAGCATAGAAATAGGATTCTCCTTTCCTTCGAAAGATCTCATGTTCCTCTCGAGCTAAATACCCCACCAGATGCACAAAGGCGTAACCCTCCAAGCATCCCGGACTTGGACCCCCACTTTACAACCTCTCTAGGCCTCCCTCTGAAGGATCTGGGTATGACCCACTGAACCCCAAACAAACCAAGCATCAAATCCCAACAGTCCCTAGCCATGGTGCAGTGTAAAAGGAGGTGATCCACCGTTTCCTCCACACGAAGGCACATGCAACAACAATTGACCACCACTTGATTCCTTCTCCTCAAATTATCCTGTGTCAAAATCTTCCCTAAAACAGACGTCCAAGCAAATAAGGCCACCTTGAGGGGTGGCTTTGCCGCCTTGGAGCGCCAAACAACCTTCCACGGGAAATGAGCCCCTAACACCTCCGTAAGACACCTATAGAAGGATTGAACATCAAAACAACCTTGAGAAGCAGGGGCCCACCCACACCCAACCATCAGAATCTCCACCCGTGATCTCCTGGCGATACAATATTTCCAAAAAACCAATGGCGTCCTTAATCTCCCAATCCTGAAAATACCTCCTGAAACGAACATCCCAAGATGATCTATTGCTATCAAGCCGATAACAGTTGACCACCATGGCCTACCTATTCGTGGAAATCCTAAAGAGTCGGGGGAAAGCGAGAGCAAGAGGTCGATCCCCACACCAAACGTCCTTCCAAAAACTGATCCTCCTACCATCCTTGGGCCGAAATCTAATGTGTTTGGAAAAACCATCCCACCCCTTCCGGATGAATTTCTCAACCCCCATACCCTATGGAATACGCACCTCAAAAGAGCTCCACCCTCCTCTCCTCTCCCCAAATCTACTCGCTACCACCTTTCTCCAAAGCCTATGCCTCACCACTCCAAACCTCTCGAACCACTTCCCAAGGAGAGCCTTATTAAAAGGCACCAATCTTCTAAAGCTCAAGCCTCTGACTTGGATCGGCTTGCACGTCTGTTCCCAGTGTACTAGATGAAAGTTGAACTCCTCCCCCATTTCCCCCCACAGAAAATTCCGTTGCAATCTCTCAATCCTCTCAGCTACAGAAAAGGGAATCTAGAACAAAGAGAGGAAATAAGTGGGAAGGCTTGAAAGGGTACTCTTTGTCAGAGTGACCCTTCCACCCTTGGAGAGGTACTGCTTCTTCCATCCCGCCAGTCTCCTCTTGAATCTTTCCACAACCGGATCCCAACTCCCCGCACACCTCGAGGATGATCTAAGGGGTAAATCCAAATAAGAGATGGGAAAGGAACCAATACAACATCCAAGGATATTTGCTAACGACGCGATCTCAGGCACCTCCCCAATCGGCACCAAAACGCTCTTCCCCACATTCAGCTTGAGCCCGGAGACAATTTGGAACCAAATCAAAACACATATCAGATATATCATCTGGGACACATCCGCATCACAAAACACTAAAGTGTTATTTGCAAACATCAAACGGGAAATCTCCAACTGATTAGCAGCATCCCTGCCCACCCTAAATCCTCTCATAAAACCAAAGTCAACAGCCTTCCTCAATAATCTATTAACGGCCTCCATCACGATAAGGAACAAAAAAGGTTAAAGCGGATCCCCCTGTCTTAAACCCCTTGAACTAGAGAAAAAACCCGTCGGAACTCCATTCACAAGCACTGAGAAGCGAGCACTGGAAATACAAAATTGAATCCATCTCTTCCATCTCACACCAAACCCCATCCTCCCCAGCATATAGAGAAGGAAGCTCCAATTCACATGGTCGTAAGCCTTCTCAATGTCCAATTTACAAAGAAAACCAGGAACCCCACTACACGATTTGGAGTCTACACATTCACTAGCAATATGGGCTGAATCTAAAATCTGACGGCCTCCAACAAAAGCATTCTGAGAGTCGGAGATTACTCCATCCAAAACTCTCCTCAATCTAGAAGCAAGGACCTTGGCTATTAACTTGTAGACGCTCCCCACCAAACTGATAGGACGAAAGTCCCGAACATCCAACACCCCCCCTTTCTTCGGAATGAGAGCAATAAAAGTGGCATTCAGACTCTTCTCAAAACAACCCTGAGCATGGAAAGCATGAAAGGTACCCATCACCTCCCCTCTAACCACCTCCCAACTCTCCAAAAGGAATCTCATGGAAAAACCATTTGGACCAGGGGCTTTGTCCCTGTTACAACACTTCAAAGCAACCAAGACTTCCTCTTCATAATACCTGGTGGTTGGTGTGTGGAGGGGCTTAGCAATCCCTGGTGGTTGGCAAAAGTGTGCATGTAGGCATGCAGCATGGCATGAAATTGCCTTCAAGGAACTTGGAGTGAGAACATCAGATTGATGTCCAGCTGGTGTCTTGGAGCCTTGGGCACCAAGTTTGATAAAAATTACGTGAAATATTGCCTATGGATTTTAAATGCTAGTGGGCATCCGATATAAATCCTAATACCTGAAGGGTGGCACGCAAAAATATCTTGTTATAAATCATAATACCTTAATGGGCATCTGATATGGATTTATAGTTCTATTGTGACGCACAGTCCTTGAATTCTCGTGCTACTTATCTATCTTTAAAAATATAATTTTATATATTTAAATATGTTAGGAAGTAAACACTGGTAGTGTGTGATATGGAGGTAGATTAATTTTTTCTAGATGTTTGATTGCTCAAAAGCATATCTGATGTTAGTGTAGATGTCCTTCAATGCTTTTAGGTTGGGTGTAATTGGGAGGCATGCCACCCGAAGTGACGTGTCATACCAAAATGAGTCCAACTCAGGCCAACTAGGGGTAGGCCCTGGACTTCAAATGGGATATTCTAAGGTGGAGCCACAATAACCACATGGACAGCGGCAGTGACATTAGGTTGTTTTGCATGACTTTTATGTTCGAGTTTCTTATGTTGATTGACGCTGCACCACAAAATAGACCTGGAGATTGGGGCAGCTCGGGCTAGATAGGAAAATGCAGCCTGTGCGCCTTTGAGGGGGTTCTAGCTTGGAGTTTAATCAGTTCCATGAGGCTTTCAAGATTATCTGATGTCTGGGAATGGACTATATTGTATTTGTTTTGTTGTTACAAAGCCTTTCCATGAGTCGCAACTGCCCTGCCCTGCTGCTTGGCTTGAGTTAAGTGCCTCAGCTATTTGAGGTAAGCATGTTGCCCTCTTCTTGGTGTTGACTTCTGGGTCTGTTGAGATTGTTGTGGCATTAGGTGAACTCAGCTAAGCAAGCTTCAGCACCAAAAAAAATAATAATAATAAGAAAAGAAAAAAAACAAAAAAGTCCAATTTGGTTTGGTGTGTGTTTTAGGGCAAGACGGAAAGGGTCATAAGCCACACAAGTGAGATGGCATAGGAAAAGTTGTTTGGCTTAGCATGACTTCTGTACTTCAGCTTGGATGGCAAGAAAACTTGACAGAGATGGCCACAGCCTAGTCATTATTTGGGATGCCACTGGTTATCCATTGTGAAAAAACTTGCTGACTTTGCCATAATCTCCGCGTGTGTGTGTGTTTAATGACTTCGAAATAAACAATTGATTAATTCTTTAAATGCCTCAAAATTCTATATGAAAATACCAAATAAAACAGTATGTCTTCCAGTGAGACCTATAGAAGCTCTCTAAACGACAAGGCAAATAGATTGCCATGTTGGAGTTAATACACAATCGTTAGTACAGACAAGATAACAGATGACGACTTCGTCTCTCTCTCTCTCTCTCTCATTTTTGGTTATATATGCTTTTAATTTCATAATGAGGGAGAACTTGGAGATGACGGTAATCATAGGAATGCGTCTAGTATATTGTGTGATAGGCGTATCCCCTTACAATTGAAAGGGGAGTTTTATAGAACAACTATTAGACCAGCCATACTTGATGGTTCTGAATGTTGGGCAGCTAGAAAACAACATTTGCGTAAAGTGTGTAGCAGAAATGCAAATGTTGAAATGGATGTGCAGTAGTAAGACTAGAAAGAATAGAATTAGAAATGAACACATTCGGGAGGTGGTTGGAGTAGCACCAATTGGAGATAAAATGAGAGAAAATTGGTTAAGTTGATTTCGACATGTGCAAAGAAGACCTTGAAGTGCGCCGGTTATGAAAAGTGACACAATGCATTGAGGGTAATCATAGGAGAAGAGGAAGACCAAAGTTAATGTGGGTAGAGTTAGTAAAGAAAGATATGATAGCATGTGGATTGACTGTGGATATGTCCTTAAATAGAGCAGAATGAAAACATAGGATTCATGCAGCTGACTCCAAGTAATTGGGAAAAGGTTTGGTGGTTGTTGTTGTATGCTTTTATCTATAATCTCACTTTGTCATGCATGAACCCTCCTGCCCCTGGCCCATCCTTCTCTCTTTTACTCACCAGGCAGCAACTTTGATGCAGAATGCAGCTGGCCACTGGCTTGCAGACCACACATACTCGTTTGGGGAATCTTCAACTTGTTTCACAGTATTTGACGATCCTTGGCAATTTAGCACTTGCCCTTCATGACACTGGACAAGCCAGAGAAATCTTAAGATCGTCCCTTACACTTGCAAAGAAGCTCTATGATATCCCAACTCAGATCTGGGTACTATCAAATTTGACAGGTATATCTATTTGCCTAATACAACAGAATGGTCTTTTGATGGCATAGCATGAATTAGTCTGTCCACTCTGTCACAGTTTGGAATAAGCATCTTTGATCTCTGACAAATATATAATATCTCCGTCTTTGTTCCCTGTGTTCTTAATGTTACCTAATGACCTTGCGTACACCATAAATGAGCAAATGACATAGTCTATCATGATGTATATTTAAGGTGGGGAACAGCCTTTGTGTGAATCTTGCTGAAAAATATCCACTTAAATTGTCATTCATCTCCTCCCATTGCTTACATCAGAAAAAAATTCTTCTATGAATCACATAATAGAACAGTCAAGGATCTTTTGAGAGTTGGATGATGTGCAGTATCTTTATATGCTCTGACCTAGGTGGTGCTTTTGAATTATGAAAACTATCTAATTTCTTTGACATTGTTCTTCCACTGCTTGAACATATCATTATGAAGGAAAAGGGAAGGGAAAAATAAAAAATGAAAAAGAAAAAAGACTAGGAAGACATGTACAGATTAAAGGAGATTTCATAACTTGTTAAGGTGATTCTTGTTAAATTATTTATGTAAATTTTGAATAAAATGGAATGTAATGGTTGACAACTTTACATTGTCTGACAAACGGTTTTCTGACTCTATTTTCCTTGACTTGGTAAATTGTTCCTCTAAATTTTGAATAAGATGTAATGTAATGTTTGACAACTTCACATGGTCTGGCTAACAGTTTTCTGACTCTATTTTTCTTTACTTTGTTACCCAATCTATTGAGTTGTAATTAGGATAGTTCAGCTTGATGCATTTATCTGATTCCTGTCGTCTGGTTAGTAATACAACTCTTCTTGTATGCAGCTTTGTATCATGAAGTGGGTGAGAAGGGGAACGAAATGGAGAATCTTGAATATCAAAATAAGAAAGCTGATGAACTGCAAAAGAAACTTGCGGATGCACATGCATCCATTCATCATATTGAACTTGTAAGGGCATCGATCCTATTCTTGTACCTTGACCTTGTCATGAAGATCAGCTAGTAATATCTGACCAAGCCGTTATAACATATTTTGAGATTCTCATGCGCTCATTCACTGATTCACTTATTTATCACATGAGCAGATCGACCAAGTAAAAATAGAAGTACATCGACAGCATGAGCTTGAGAGCAAGCGTGCAATGGCAAGTCCATCCATGAGAGTCAATCTCGACATTCCTGAATCTGTTGGTCTTTCAAACCAGTCACCCGCTCCATCATCAAGGCTCATGGACTTGGACATTGGGAGACGTGGAAAGAGGAAAATTTAGTTCCCAACTTGCTTAATATTTTTATTTTCTTTATTAAAAAATGGAAGTAATCTACATTTTTTTTTTTTTCGGTTTTTTATTTTTATTATTTTTAAAAAGGTCAGCATAGAAGTTATGCTGGTTCCTTTTGAACTATAGGCATCATTGTGAAGATGTTGTCCAGAACTGTAATATAATGAATGCTACCATCATTGTATCTTCTCCTTCTTAATGTTATGCTACCATCATCATGTCTTGGTTCTGCTAGTTGATCAAGTTGTTGTACCGTAAGCTACCTGTTGCAGTGCTTTGATCACTTGACCTTGTTGTTGGAAATAAATAAGCTACAATAAGGTTAAAAAAAAAAAAAAAAAAAAACCTAATTGTGAATGAGGCAATTTTTGTTACTTCATTTATGTGTCATGTAAAGCTTGCAGTGAAAGTTCTCACAAATGAAATATACAAGGCAAACTTCTGGTAGCAGCACTGCCTAAACCAATAACCGACGGTAAGAATGAAATGTGTATCAGTAAAGCTTCCTCGTGAAACAGCATAAAAGAAGCCATTGCATGAGAGGATGGCCAAAGCAGAGCCTTCGGCTGAAGGCGCCACAACATTGCTGTGATGGTCGTTGAGCAATGAGCTTATGCTCACTGATTTGCCGGTAATCCTGCAATTTCTTTGAGTGGCGTCCATATGAACTTCCTCCTGGACATAGCAAGCAGAGGAGAACATGAATATGATTCTGACCCAAGCAAAGCAGAACCCGGAAACAGGGCATGAAATGTGAAGCATCGACATGTTCAACGAGTCACCTGGTTAATCTATGAACCCAAATTTGTTATGTTTTGAGTCTCTGTGCCTTACATTCCCCTTAAATTGTGTACTGGTGATGAAAAAAGAAATTTTATTTTTCTTATTTTATGGAAAACTTTGCTGGATTCTATTTCTTTGAAAGCCTGGAGGGAACGGGAGCCTGTTCTTTGAAATTTGAAGTACCAGAAGGAAAACAGAGAGGCTTACCAGTTTCCACATTCTGCAATGACCCTGACTTTAGGCCTGAGAGAGGGGAGCAAAGCAAGAAACTGCAGTTCTGCCTTGGACAAAACCTGAGTGAATGAATGCACAGAGTCACACAGTATTTCAATGAAAACTTTTCAACATAAAACCCATCTTCCCTGACAGTGATAGGATGAGATTCATATACTGTAAAGTCATTCACACAGTCATGACACTCACCTTGGCTTCAATTATCCAAACCACTAACCCTTTGGCATTGGGAGGCAATAATGAGAGCCTATAATCAACCTCTGGCGGGAAATACCATCTTGCTATGGGCTGCTTACCTACATGAGCCTGCAAGTTTTGTAGGCACGAGACTAATTGGGACTTCCACCATGCATACTTAGAAATGTTAAGAAGTGGAGAGAGTAGTGAGACTCACTGGGCAGACAGGATGGACTTTGGTGAGAGTTGTCTCAGGGTCACCGAGGCCCCGAGCAGTGAGGTCCAGGAAATAGTAGCCCTGGTACCTCAGCCTGTTCAGGTACCGCCCTTCGTACCCTCCCTCGTGGGGGCTGTATATTGCCAGGGCCTTGTGCTCTTCCACGTCTGACAACCAACGACTCAAGTCGAACTTCACAAGGTCCCCTCCAATGAAGTCCCCTATTCCTCTGCCACACCTCACCACGCCCTTTCTATACCATCGTGTCATGATCAATCCGCTCTTTCTCATTGTCATTGTTGCAACATGGCATGGTGGTTGTTGCCGGAGATTGACTGGAGGCAGCAGTGTGCCACGATACGAGCTGCAGGCAGTGGTTACCATTGTGCTTCAGGTTGCTGTGTGGCTAGAAGAAGGTGGAGGGAGACAAGGCCATAGTAGGAAGAGATGAGAATAGTATTGTTAGAATGGGCTTTGGCTTGGTGTGAGTTGTAAGTTCTATGGTGGAGAAACAAGATAAGAAGGTGTTGCTTCTAAAATGAAAATTGGTCTTTTATGATGAGCCCACCATGTCATAGCATAGGCAACATCCCACCACCACACTTGCGGTTGTGGTGACCAAGCTGCCAAAAAGTCCATTAAAAGACAATTAGTTGAGTACTTGTGGGCCCATATTAGACCAGCTCCCAGTTGTGCCTTGTTTTGTAATGCAGTCAGCGCATTTAAATCGAGATATAAAAACTACCCTTTCGCTTCCAAAATCGTATATTACTTGGAAACTTACTACATATTCTGAATAATCCAGATTTCAATTCCTTGAATGAATGTGCGTGGGTGAAAAAAAAAAAAAAAAACATGGTATTGACATGTTATACCAGTACGGTATTAAAATTTAAAATTTTATGGGCAGAAAGCCAGCCCTAACCGGTTTCTATATATTTCTCAGCTCAACTCGGACTCAAAAACTCACCATTCCGCAATTCTGCCGAGACCTGTCGGCACTGCAACCCCCCAACTCGCTATTGACTTCACTCAAACACACTAAACTCTCTCTGTATCTGAAGTAGGTTTACCCTGTATTGATTCATGATCCTCCTGAGCGCGGCAAATCGTGATTGAAATCCTCATTTCAGCAACTTTCATGTCCCAGTTCGATCATCGTGTACATGTAAATTTCTAGAGAATGCAAGCGACGATCGCTTCAAGGTGCTTCAGAGTTCGCGAGCTCTTCCTGCGTAAGGGAGAGATGGCGATAATGAATTCTCATTGCACTTCCTGTCACAAAACTCTCGTCCCTTTTCGCCCTTTTGATTCAAAATCGTTCACGACCGGACGATGTCTCAGTATTGATGTCTCAGGCCGATACACTCATACGAATCGTATTTTTACCAGAGAGTTTTCTAGTCGGCGCTATTCGTGGGATGTTTCCAGAACCGCCCCGCATTTCTTCAAACACCTTAACGGCTTTCTCTCAGATTCCACCCGTGGACCTCCACAACAACCTGTAAGTCAAATTATACATATATATGTATATATATATATATATACACAAACACTCACTTGTGCTTGTGCGTGTTTTCTGATACATATGCATATATATATATAAATTGGGACTCCTTATATCTTCTATTCTTTTGTGGGTTTAATTCGAAGTTGCGAACAGGGTTCGATACCAAATGGGTATGCATTGTTCTCAGCATCTACTAGGGATGAGGTAAAGCAGCCTGGAAAGACAGAACAAACGACTACGGTTGCTAAAGGAAGAGATTCAGAAGATCGCGTTGCAGACACAAAAATTCTCCGTACTCTTGCAACATACTTGTGGTCAAAAGATAACCTCGAGTTCCGGTTGCGGGTGGTTATTGCCTTGGGTTTTCTTATTGGAGCTAAGGTGGGTGGCAGTTTGTGCCTCCAATCTCTGTAATTGTTATTGGGTCACTTCTATCCAGACTTTGCTTTTCTGTAATTAATTTTTTTGCTTAGGAACTAAATTTAGTGATTAACTATTAATTACTGAACAAGTTGTGGTGCTTCTATTATTCAGGTTCTCAATGTTCAGGTACCTTTTCTATTCAAGCTTGCTGTGGACTGGTTGACAACAGCAACTGGGAATGCTAGTGCTCTTGCTGCATTTACCACTGCTAATTCAACTGTTTTGGCCCTTTTTGTGAGCCCAGCAGCCGTTTTAATTGGATATGGAATAGCACGAACTGGGGCATCTGCTTTCAATGGTAATTCACTTGAGAAAATTGTTGTTTCTTCTTGCCTTTCCCATTCTTATACTCCCATGCACATCCATTGCTCCAGAGTTGCGAACTGCTGTATTTTCTAAGGTGGCATTGCGAACAATCCGATCAGTATCTAGAAAGGTAAGAAACTAGTGGTTTTTCTTTTTATATATGTACTGATTCAGGACATGATATTGCAAAATGACCGGTACAGCCCCCTTCCACCGGGGTGGGGGTGTTGGGCGGTTAGCAATCTTCTTTGGAAGTAATTGACCATTAAACTTATGTACATTATTAACATATTATCATCATTAGCTCTAAAATGTTCTTATCTCATCCCTATGTCCTTAGTGTACCATAATGATATATTTGATTTGTTGTAGCAGCCTTCTTTTTTGTTGGATAAAATATATTTTAATAGAAGAAAAAAGGGGTAAAATGTTGGAATACAAAAGTTATAACATTGTGAAGCTGTTCAGTATAACCAAAACATACCCAAATAAAAGGGACTGTAATATGCAGGATAAGTTCTCATACCAATTATTTATTATTATTATTGTTATTATTATTTTGGTTTTGTTCCTTTCATCCACGACAGTGGAGACAATGTAGGGCCTGTCTTCAGTTGGATCTTAGCACTAATTCCAAACAATGATGGACCAACCAGGAAAATAAAAAAAGAAACCCATCATTGTTATGACTCTATTTGCCATTCAGGATTCGATGGATTCAAAATAACTCAACTCAACAAAGCCTTTTCCCAAATATTTTTGTGTTTGCTTGCTTTTTTTGTTCTCAAGTTTTTCACTTTCCTAATAAAAGTTGGATCATATTTTAGACAAATGCATTTATGGGGGGCTAGAGCTTTCATTGGGAAATGGTTGTGGAGTTTCTTGAGAGAACATGGGTAGGAATATTGGCTAGCTGGCTGAAGAAGTCATTGTTGGCCACATAATTCATTGCACATGGTTCACCTTTGTTCTTACCTCTAATAAGATTCGTCATGTTAAATGTCTTAGGAAATAGTTATGGGATAATTCTTTAAGTCGCTTAGTTCTCCTCCTTTCTTGAAGACCTCATAAAGGCTTACTTATCTATTTTGGCTTTTCAAAGCTCTGGGAGCTATAGCGTCCTAGATTTTCTTCTTCATTATTTTTTTTTCTTTTTCGTCATTCTTTCATAAAAAGATCTTGTCCCAAGTTTTCATTCCCCTTAAATATGGGTCCCTCATCAAGTGAAACATTTGACTTGGTTAGTCTTCTATAGAGGCCAACATTAACAAGATGCTTTTAAAATGACAACTTGGAAAGCTCACTCCCTTAACTCGTGCGTTATGTACAAGAATTCAGCAGTATGTCATTGTTGATTTTAGAATGCATGTCTACACTTTTAACTCGTGCGCTATTCTATTGGTCTTTTGATTCTTATGGTTTAAAAGAAATGATAGAATTTTTAGGACAAATATGGCATTGTTGATGCCTCAATAGAGAAGATTAAAGCTGAGACCTCCTTTTGGGTTTGCCAAGCCTTAAATTTGAATGTTTTTGAGACTCTTACTCTTCAAATTCTAAGGAAGTGGAAGGAGGTGTTGCTCTTTAGGATTCTCTAAAGTGCAACTATCAGACAATTGGACCTAAGTAGCATATAGCACAAACACGGACATGATATGACACGGATACACTGACATGTCAAATTCTAAAAAAGTAAGACATGGAAATGGCATGGATACCACTATAAATAATATGAAGTTTTGTTTATGTACATCTATTATGTATGACTATCACAGAATTTTTAATTTGTGTGTTAAGAGTTATATATTTAGAAGATTAAGTTATGTGAATATTGTAAAGATTATTATATGATATATGCTTGCTTCTACTCTGCTACTTTTTTACTATAATTATATTTTTGCGCCATATGAAAAAATGTCATCATCTGCTTGACTTATGTTGACCATGTGTATAATTTCTATTTTTCTAAAAGAAAAAAAAAAAAAAAAAAAGGTGAACACTTTGAGGTGTGTTCATATTGTTTGCAAGATCGTTGGAAGTGGCTACTCTTACATGTGCTTGTATGAGTGTATCGTATAATAAATGTTGTAGAGTACTTATAAAAAAAATAAAAAAAAAAATAAAAAAAATAAAAAACCTGTTGGAGAGTGTCTCAAATGTGTTTGCCAAGTGTTCAGAATCTGTATGTAATAATGAAATTCATTTTAAAATTATGGACATACATTAAGTGTCGGACACATGTCCATCGGTTTGATGCTTCTTATTAAGAAAGTTGGTAAATTAGATTGGGATGGCATCGGCTGGATCACATAACTTGCAATAATATCAAGTTCTTAATCATTCAAGAAGAGTGATGCAATAAATGTGTTTGCTTGAGACTCTGCAATGGTCATCAAATGGCATATATATATATAATTTCAGGGCCTTAGAGATCCATGAACTACATGAGAAAGATTGAATGTATTCCATTTTGGTAGTGGCTAGTCATTTTTTGGCATGTTTTTGTTGTTAAAACTTTCAAAGGATATCTTGTCCTCCTCTTTTGCATTTTCATATCATAGAAGAGAAAGGAAACAAGATGTGGCTTGTTTTGCTGGAGATGCATGAGCTATAGATGTTCAGATGCTAAGTTGAAATGAGGATGGAAAAGAAAATAGTTTGCTGATAACGAAGACAATCCTGCAACAAAATTTAAGATGATAATTTTAATTGTTTTACTACATGGAAAATGCCAACTCGCTGGGTCCCTAATTGACAAATGATGCAGTGTATGACATGCAATGGTGCAACCCATAACTTAGCACAATTAAATTTGCATAAATTTTTGTAGTGCTCATACTTCTATGGTTCTATATTTACAGTTGATATATGTCATTTTTCTGATTTGATCCTAATTTCTTGCTTGTCAGTTGTGACATGTAAAGCATTTTTAACTTTTGCAGGTCTTTTCACATTTGCATGAGCTTGATCTTCAGTATCATCTTAGGTATTGTCCGGAGAACATTCTGTTCAGCTCACTAGAAAAATTCTTTTGATGATAGTTGTTATTTTAATCTACCAAGACATAGATTGCAATATTGGGCTGCCATATATTGTTTTCTTCTTCTTTTTTTCTTCTTTTCCATTTTGGCCAGGATTTCAGTTTACAGAGTGATATTAATACAAAAGATTGTATATATGCATTCTGTACAGCAAATAACAGTCCTTATAGTTGCCAAAAGACCTTGCTATCATTGTGGAAAATGTTTCTTGGTTATTCTAATGTAATAAATCTAGATATGAGAAACGTAGAAACTGCAAAGTTTAGATCCTGTCTGAACTCTTTAGAAAGATATTTGGATTTGATGATTCTCATAGATATCTGTCCCCAAGTAGTTGGGGAAAAAAAGCTTGATTGTTGTTGTATGATTCTCATAGACATGTAGATTGGTTGTGACGTTGGACAAGTAGTGCTTAAATAGTAACCAGAAAGAAAGAAGTGTATGAGAATGAGAAGTTGAGATGAGGTTGGATGAAGGAGGTGAGAAGATAGACGAAGGGGATGAGAAAAGACTGAATGAGGTAGGTTAGAGAGACTAAGGGATAGAGAAAAGCAAGAACAAGGAGGGAGAAAAGATACGGGGAAGGGTCGCAAACTCACAATAGCAATTCAATATTTCCAAAGCTCATTGTCTAATTACATTTAAGCCTTTATATAGGCAGAACATTAAAAGAACCTAAAATATTAAAATATTCCTAAAAATAAACATTGCCAAAAATAACAAATACAATTTAAAATTAAACCTAATTACATCAAATCGCTATTTTCATCTATCTTTGCCCCTTTTTCTAAAGTAGAGGCGGCATGCGGATCATCTATGAAGATCATAACTCGTTCTCCATCAATTCTCCTCCGTTGAGAATAACTCTCTTCCGGAGAGTAAAGCGGATAGTATTGCCCTAAAAAGTTCGAATCAACATGGCAAGGCTTATTTGTATTCCACGTGATAGCAGAAGATGGATAATGCTACCATAGTGGAAGAAGTGTTGGTGCTGAAGAAAATGTAGCTCTCCTGTAAGAACACAAGCTAATAATATAAGAGGCTCAAAGGTGCCTTGGTTAGGTGACAAATAATCCACATGAAAAATTGGACTACTACCATTTTTTGATGACAAGTCAAATAAAAATGCATAAGGTCCGAAATTATGAGTGATGTGGAGATATCGAGTGATTTGGGCTTGCGAAGTCTCAAAGGAGTCACATGGATAAGGTTGTGGTGTTACATGAATAAAAACATAATCTCCTTTAATGAATTTCTCCTTTCCTTTAAGGTCACTTTGATGTTTGTTCCTTCTATAGATGACTCGTGAAGGGACCAGGGGTTTCTTTTCCGTGGAAGGCTGTTTGGCTGTCCAAATCCCTCTTAAAGGTGGCTTTCTTTGCATGGACATTTGCTTTGGGAAAGATTTTGACCCAGGATAATTTGAAGAAAAGACAACAGGTTGTGGTCAATTGTTGTTGCATGTGCCTTAGTGATGAGGAGACGGTGGATCACCTTCTTTTGCATTGTCCTATGGCTAGGGACTGTTGGGATTTGATGTTAGGTTTGTTTGGGGTTCAGTGGGTTATGCCCAAGTCTTCCAAAGGGTTGGTTAAGGTTTGGAGAGGTTGTATAGTATAGTGGGGGCCCAAGTCCGTGAATTTTGGAGAGTTACGCCTTTGTGTGTCTGGTGATGTCTTTGGCTCGAAAGAAACAGGAGATCCTTTAGATGAAAGGAGACTCTTATCTCTTTGCTTAAGTTCTCCATTATTACCTAATGATGATAGGTGAATACTCCGAGAGAAAGAGAAGAAGAAATTCTCTAATTGCATATTTAGAAATTGTAAAGAAACAATACATAAAAAGGAAAATTTGGAGGCTACAGACCAGCTACTCAATTTCCTAAATTGATGGAATAAAACAAGCAACAAATAAATAGGAATTAAACTAGGAAAGTCAACACACGGAAAGAATCAAATCAACATTAAATAGGAAAAACAATCAGCTAGTATTTACACCCTAGGATTAGGGTGCCAGCTATTCACGGATAAATCCATGTCTCCACTACGTATTGAGAAAAAAGAAAGAATTCTCAACACTTCCCCTCAAGCTGGAGCATAAATGTCGATCATGCCCAGCTTGTTTCCTAATTTTTCGAAATTCAATCTCCGTAGGCCCTTTGTCAAGATATCAGCAGTTTGGCTACTTGTAGGAACAAATGTCATACAGATTGTTCCTTCTTCAATTTTCTCTTTCATAAAATGATGATCTACTTCTGCATGCTTTGTTCGATCATGATGAACAGGGTTATGAGCTATACTGATCGCAGCCTTATTATCACAGTACAGTTTTATAGGTAGATTTGCTTCAATTTTTAATTCTTTTAATAATAACTTTAACCACAATAATTAACAAATACCCTGAGCCATAGCTCGAAATTCAGCCTCTGCACTGCTTCTAGCAACAACTGCTTGCCTTTTACTTCGCCAGGTTTCCCCAAACAAACGTACAATAACCAGTAGTGGACCTTCTATCTGTAATTGAACCTGCCCAATCAGCATCTGTGTATGCCTCAATTTTCTTCTCTTTATATTTTCCAAAAAATAGGCCTTTACCAGGACTTCTTTTGAGGTACTTGAGGATTCTGTACACGGCTTCTAAGTGATCCTTTCCAGGAGAATGCATGAATTGACTGACTGCACTAACTGCGACGGCTATGTCTGGACGTGTGTGAGACAAATAGATCAGCTTTCCAACCAATTCTTAATACATGCCTTTATCCACAGGAGTTCCACCTTCTGTCAGTCCTAACTTTTGATTAGGATCCATCGGAGTGTTAGCAGGTTTACAGCCAAGCATACCTGTCTCCTTTAGTAAATCCAGAGTGTATTTTCGCTGTGAGACTGAGATTCCTTTGCTGGTTCTTGCAACTTCCATGCCCAAAAAATATTTTAAGAAACCAAGATCTTTAATCTCGAATTCACTAGCCAGAGTCTTCTTCAATAGTTCCATTTCTTTAAGATCATCACCTGTGAGGATTATATCATCAACATAAACAACTAATATTGCGACTTTCCCTTCACGGGATTGTTTATAGAATAAAGTATGATCTGCTTGAGTTTGACTGTATCCATGGCTACGAATTGCTCTAGTGAATTTTTCAAACCAAGCACGTGGTGACTGTTTCAACCCATAAAGGGATTTCCTCAGTCTGCATACTTTCCCAGATTCGCTCCTGTTTTCAAATCCTGGTGGTCAGTCCATGTATACCTCCTCATCAAGATCTCCATTAAGAAAGGCATTCTTCACATCTAGTTGTTGTAGAGGCCAATCCAAATTTGCTGCGAAAGATAAAAGGACTCGGATGGTGTTCAGTTTTGCCACCGGTGCAAAAGTCTCCTGGTAGTCCACTCCATATGTCTGAGTAAATCCCTTCGCTACAAGTCTAGCTTTATATCTCTCAATAGAGCCATCAGATTTGTACTTCACAGTGAAGACCCATTTACATCCCATTGTTTTCTTTCCGGTAGGCAAGTTTACCAATTCCCATGTGCCATTTTTTCAAGAGCCCTCATTTCTTCTTTAACAGCTTCTCTCTACTCTGGAATAGATAGAGCCTCCTGTATAGAATTTGAAATTTCGCACTGGAAAGATTAGTGGTAAAAGCTCTATAGGATGGTGATAATTTTTTATACGAAACAAATTTAGAGATAGGATGAAGGGTGCATGATTAAATTCCTTTTCTAAGGGCAATTGGCAAATCTAGATTAGATTCATTATTAAGCATAGGAGTAGACTCGAAGGGAAGATTACCTGAATCAGAATTTCGAGTCACGGTCTGAGGTTCGGATTCTTGGCGATGCTGAGATGGTGGTTGCTTTATTACTCGTTGATTGTTTCGTCGTGTGTAAACCCGTAGCTCTTGTTCATTCGGCTGCTGAAGTTCTCCCCCTGTCTGAGAATTTTCACATGTTAATGGCATAGTAGGATTAGGAGGAGATGGTGGAGGTTGATTTGGTTGAGATAGGGTTGAGTTAGGTAGAGAAATATCCCAAAACTGATCTTCCGAAATTTGTTGCTCCTCTTAAAGATCAGTTTTTGAAAAAAATGACTGGTTCTAAAAAAAGGTGACATCCATGGAGGTGAGAAATTTCCTTTTTTCTGGAGAATAACATCGGTACCCCTTTTGAGGAGGAGAGTATCCCACAAACACACATTTTATGGCTCTTGGATCAAGCTTGCCACGGTTATGGCTATGTATATGGACGAAGTAGTACAACCAAACACTTTGAGAGGTAGGTTGCTAATGAAACGTATATGAGGATAGGCTTCAATCAAGGAGTTGAGGGGAGTCTGGTAATTTAGGACTTTAGTGGGCATACGGTTTATGAGATAAGAGGCAGTGAGAATTGCTTCTCCCCAAAAAGTTTTTTGCATATTTGAGGTGAACATGATAGACCGAGCCACTTCTAGGAGATGGTGGTTTTTTCTTTCAGAGAGGCCATTTTGTTGGGGGTATCCACACATGAGCTTTGATGAATAATGTCATGTTTGTTAAGAAACTCACTGAGAACAGAGTTAAAATATTCACAACCATTGTCAATTCTTAATATTTGAATTTTTGTTTGAAATTGATTTTGGATCACGGAGTGAAATTCTTTGAAAATATGCGCAGTTTCAGATTTTTCTTTTAAGAGAAAGACCCAACAAATTCTGGTGTGATCATCAATGAAGGTTACAAACCATTTTTTACCAGTAAAAGTTGTTACTTTATAAGGCCCCCAAATATCACTATGAATGATGGAAAAAGGTTTTGATGATTTGTACGGTTGAGATGGAAAAAAAGTACGATGATGTTTAGCAAGTTGACATATTTCACATTGAAATAAGGCTGGATTTTTATTCTTGAATAATGAAGGAAATAGGTTTTTTAAATAGGAAAAACTAGGGTGGCCAAGTCTACGAT